AATTTTCGCTCGGATAATTTTGCTCGTGAAATTGGATCGATTTGCAAGGCAGTTTTCGAAGGAGTCCGAAATTAGAGACTGATGACGAAGCCTGCGGCCACATAATCTCGTTTAGCAGAGATAATTGCTTCCTAATCGCGCACGACCAATCAGCCTAACTGTGTTACGTTGTCTAATTCGTTTATGCGGCAATGTTGTATCGGCCAAACCCCTCTCCTTATCGAGGCAACGGATTACTTGGGTCCTTTTCCGCGCGACTCCCTTTCCATGATTCGCCCCAATTCCAATTGCGAGAACTGTCGATCTGTAGGGTGGCTATCGCTTTGGTGTCAGTGCGTACGTGTATACATGTATATATGTGGTCAGTTAATCGCTTTCTGTTTGTTCCCCATTGATCACTCCTTTAGCTCGACAATCTCCGCGATCCTAGAGCTTAACTTTTCTGGAGAAAAGATTGTCGAGCATCGATTATTACTATATTTAAATATTATTCGATATATGCTTAACTACGATTTCGTTCATTATCGGAATAGACTAGAAAAATTGTCAGAGAAGTTTTGGAAGGAGAAATTAAATTTAATGAACTTTTAAGATTAAGGTTTTGTATATTTTATGTTCCTTTATTGTACATTTCGAATCTCCGAAGGCAGGGCAGACATAAAATCGATATTTGATTAAGGTATACATAAGGGATATTTGTAATAATTGAAAAATGTTTATATATAAATAAAAAATGGGAAGCATAAAAGGCAGTGTAAAGACATGATAAAACCGGTTTGCCGACCAACGAACGGAAATCATTGAATTCACTGGCGCCAACTAATCCGTTTGAAGTACTCTTCAGCAAGTGCCGCCGCTTTCTTTTACCGCCGTCGATGCCTTCCCTGATGCAAAACATTGCCGGAAGAGCACTCTTGACTAGGTACTTGATGCGCAACTTTCTTGTCACGGCCAAGAACAGACGTTACACACCGTAGTAGCCGCGAGTAAGTACGTTCGACGAGAAATGTGATAAACATTATGCGGGCGTACATGATAAAAACTGATACGTGGAAATGGACACTTACACTTGATAGACTTCCCGAGATCAGCTCTGACAAACGCAGGGAACAATTTGCTCCGAATCTTCGTTTTTTTTCTTTTTTTTTTCCACAATAAAGGAAGAACGAAGATAAAAGGGACTTTGGTGTTGTCTTAAAAAAAAAGAAATGTAGCCAGCTCCCAGTATAATCACAACCCGAAACTGAGATTTTTGTCGAAGGTTATTTTCCTACGTTCGCTTTCACGGTACACGGTTCGATAGGAAGCGCTAACGCGGTTGAGGTTGGCCACTCATGAATACATTATCCTTTCTAACGAGGTGAATAGGTCAAGTAGATGGAGTCGCAGCGTCTGTCCATAAATCACTCAAAGGGCAAGCGAAATCACCCCACGTGCAAGCCGGTTCAATGCCGTTCGACTTCTCGTGCATCCACTTCCGCTTTTTGTTCTGTGGCGTGCTTTCGACGCTCCATGTTTCTTTATTCAATATATCAATATATAAAATTACGTCGTTTTTGCGTTTTTTTTTTTTTTTTTATCGTTCCCACATTCACACGGAATACTTTGTGACGTCACGTATCGTGCGTTATCGGTATTGTCTATTCGTGCGATGGAAAAGCGATAATCATGCGCGACATGCAAATCGGAGATATCGTTTACATATTTTGCAGTTTTCACGGCATTTCCACAAATGGAAATCCACCTGATATAATAACAGTTACGCGCTTCGCCATCCGTAAAGTTGGCATATAAACGTTATCCAGCCAGAAATCAATTTTACGACATAATTTAAATAATTTAAGTTCCCAGGGGAACGGTAAATTGTCGTCAGTTGTCATCGAGAAATCGATGCTTTTATCACGCGATCGTTTGTTATATTGCAAATGATTTATTTCAATGTAGCAACGGTGATTAAGGTTGTGCTTACACTGGAAACGCGAGTGCGCTAATATTGATTCGCCGTAACACGACAGAAGCGATGACGACCATAATTTATAATTCTCACAGGAGCATTTGACTGAACATTATTAATTTGCGCAGTCGGTTAAACGTTAGGCGAATTTGCGTACAGTCGTTTATTAGATATCTACGTAGTCGCTTGCACGCGATGCAGCCTTACCTTTTTATTGAAAGAATTTTATAAATTTTAAAAACATTTTTTGAAAAGAATCTTTATTCTCAGATTAAAAAAAAATCAAAAATATTTTATTCGTGATTAATAATGATATATTAATTTTAATATTTAATAAGGATAATAAAGGTATTCCAATTTCAATATTATAATAATAATTTCTATTTCTTGTCGAGAGATGTATTACATATATTTTATTATTTTTTCATGAATGAATTAATTAATTCATGAAAGAGTAATAATGATAATCATGATTTTATATCTCCAATTTAATTATCTGATATAAAATTGTAATAATTTTTTATATTTATGTATTCAGTATATTAACATCAACTTAAATATTTTTTGTATGTAAAACAATTTTAAAAATAAGAATTCTATATTGGATATATTTTATCCAAAACATAAATATTAAAGCAAGCGAAAAGTTGATGAAATCACTTCTTATATTTCATGAGAAATTCTAAACTATAATCTAGAATATTTTGATGCGGTAATGGTATTAATAAATACGAGAACGTCATTTTTTATAAGAAACGATTTGTTGTATTTCAGTTTTGAAAAGAATCAAACTTTCCAGTAACATAGAATAAAACAATGATAGAATAACGACGAGTTGATGTAGATAACGACACTGACATGTGCCAAGTAAATACAAAGCTTTCTAACCACATATAAAAATCAGAAATACACAGAGTCAACGTAAGAGTTAGAATTGTGAGCAAATTCGTCGACATTCACAATGTCTTTCGATCGTAACTACCAACGTTGCGTTATAATAAAGCTATTTACAAATTCCAATATCTCGTAGTAATCGTCATTCACGTCTCTTTTCAATATATAATGTCATGTACATACGTAAAATTCGATGCGCTACGTAATATCGAGTTACTAAAACTTTGGTTACGCAAAAATGACGTAGATATATATATATATATATATATATATATATATATTTATATATATATGTATATTTATATACGTATGTATATATGTATATCCGAACTATTTGCCTCCTCATGAAGGATTTGTTAGAGTTATACGCCTATAAACAAATGTACAATAATTACAAGGGAAGTAATACATTGATGAATTTATAAATAGTACATATAGAGTGATTATATTATACCAATTATTTTTCTTACAATCGCAAGAACGGAGAATACTTTATTCGAGAAAGTAATGAAAACTAAATTTATTTCATTCCAATTCTGATTAATTTTGAATGAATGAAATGTTAAAAAATATTATATATCTCTATTGTTTTTCTATTTATTTGGCAATCATACATTATATCGGATATTTACTTATGTGAAATGTCAAATAAAAGTACGTAACTGTTTGAAACAAGAAATACTATATAATATATGTCTGAAATAATTAATTGTATAACATTTTAATTTGAAGCAAAAAGTAAATGATAAAATATTCATTATGTATAATCTGTGGTAAGAAGAAAATATATATATGGTATAAAATATATGAATAAAAAATAGTGTTAAAATTCTGATAATTCAAATTTTTTGTTTAAAAAATTGATTATTCACAATAATAACTCTAATAAAAATTAAAATGAATAGTATAAATAAAATAATATAAACAATAAATTATATTTTGAAATGTGTATAACATATTTTATATTCTTTTTTTAATATGAATGTAAGAAAAAAAATATTGCTATCGCATAGCTAATTTTGTCAAAAGTTATCGCAACGGTTTTCATATAACATATAGCAAATTCTTCATTTCAAGCGATTGAAATAAATATATGACGAAATATTTGTCCAGCTGATTAAGATTACTTTCGTTCGAAAAAAAAATCTCCGTAATTGCGCATTCATTAACAAATCCTAATCACACTCACACATATACATACGCATTCGTACGCATATAATC